GGATGGACTTGGGGCGCTCAGAGAGGTTCAGGCACTCGCCAGGTTGCACGGCGGGTGCAGGGCCCGGGCTGCACGCGGACCCCACGTCCCTTCTCGCGCCCACGGGGCGGGGGTGGGGGGTGGGGGGCGGGCGGGAGAGAAGACCCGCTGGAGGCGGAGCCAACGCCGCGCCCCGGAGCACAGGATTGGCTGCTGCGGGAGGGGGCGGGGCCGCCGGCCGTAAATACGGCGCCACATGGCAGCGGCGGGAGGGCGGCGGCGGCGCGCAGGGCGCAGGCGCGTTCCGGGCTGGCGCCCCTCGGCCGCCGTGGCCCCTCAGCGGGTCGCGACTTCTCGCGAGAAGAGCGGGAGGCGGGGCTGCGCGCGGGGGGCGGGGCCGGCAGGGGCGGCGGCGGGAGGGTCCGCGGGCCGGAGGCGGCGGCGGCGGCGCCAGGTGAGTGTGGGCGCGGGGCGCGGGGCTCGGGGCGCGGGGCGCGGGGCGCGGGGCGCGGGGCGCGGCGCTGTGTGACCTTGGCCCGGCCGCAGCCTCTCTGGTCCGGGCCCGCGGCTGACGGGCCGGCGGCGGCGGTGATGGAGGGGCCGGCGGGGAGCGCGGCCCGCAGGACCGCCGCCCGGACGCCGCCCGCCCGCGGGGCCCGGGGCGGCTGTGTGTGCGGCCCTGTCATTCGCTTCCCGTGGCGCTCGGAGCTCCGGGCGGCGCCGGCGGGAAGGGCTGTGGCTGCAGCGCCGCCCGGAGCTGCCGGAGGGTCCGCGCCCTGCAAACCGGCCCCGGCTCCCGGCTCCCCGGCCCCGGCTCCCGGCTGCGGGCTCCGGCTCCCCGGCTCCCCGGCTGCGGCTCCCGCTCCCGGCCTCTGCGCCCGCTCTTCACGGCACAGGCGGGACCGCTGCCCGCTGCGGCGGGGCGGCCGGGAGCCGGGCCTGGAGGAGGGGGCGGAGGGCGGCCGCGCCGGGCCGGGAGCCGGGCCTGGGTGCGGGTTTCGGGCGGGATGCGGCGGTCTGGGTCGGACTCAGCGGGCGGCGGGGCGGGAGGTGGAGGGGCTGAGCGGGTGGCCCGGGAGGAAGCGGGGGCGGGGCCGGGAGGAAAGCGGAACCGGAGCGGGTGCAGGGCGTGGGCGGGAGCGGCTGGCGGGGGACACCGCGGGTTCGGTCCCAGAACCTTCCCGAGCTGCGGCCGCCCTCCGGGGGGGTCTGGGCTGGGCCTCCTGAGCCGGCCAGGGGCCAGGTCCCGGGCGGGGGGAGCCGGTGCCTTTCCGGGGCATCGCCTCCGGGGAGGAGCCGGTGATGGGCGCACAGAGGGCCCCAGTAACGGACCGGACAGGCAATGCTTCCTCCGTCAGCCGCCGCTTCTGCTGCTGCTGTGTAACCCGCAGGCGGCACCCCGTGGAGGGGGAGCGGGGAGGGTGCTGGGTGCTGGGTCCCTCAGGAGGCCCAGCTGGAGCGCTGGCTGATGAGGATGTGGTTGCTGACCCCCTCCCCTCAGGGGTTCAGAGCTTCCAAGTTCTGTAGGCCCCGCGCACCGTACCCAGGAGCAGAGAGCCTGGGTGGGGAAGAGGGGGCCTCCACGTTGCGGGGCCGCCGGCGCTGACGCTCGCGTGGAGACAGTAGCATCCCGGCACAGGGACGGGCGCTGAGGAGAGAGCAGAGGCCAGAGTGAGAGCCCTCGGACGGGAATGAGCTCGGTGGGGCCGCTGGCAGCCAGGAGGTCACCGTTCCGGGTCGGGCACGAGCCTGGGTTGCGGGCTTGGTCCCCATGGGGCTGTGCAGGTGGCAGCTGATGGATGCGCTCTCATTGCTGTCTCCATCTCTCTCCCTCTCTCTAAAAATCGATAAAAACATTAAAGAAAAGGCGGAGAGGGGCTCCCAGCTGAACCGAGAGGCTGGGCCGGCTGCCAGGCCGCCTCGCACTCGGAAGGCGGCGGGAGGTGGGACCGGAGCCGGTGAAGTGGACAGGCACCGGGCAGCGGAGCGGGAGAGGAGGCTCCGCTGGCCGAGGGAAGATCAGCCGTGGTGGGGAGGGGGGACATGCTGGGTGCGCCGCCCCAGGACAGCCCTCCACCGGGGACCCTCCCACCCGGAGGAGGCGCCCGCAGCAGGGACCACGTGCCTCTGGGAGAGGTGGCCGCCGGCTGTGGGGCCAGCAGGGAAAGAGCCTGCCACCCGCCCCGGGGCAGCCACACCAAACCCAGGAGAAACCCAAAGATTCCGCAGAAAAGAATGGGGAGGAGGGTGGAGGGTGGAGGCGGCCCCGGAGGAGGGGGCCCTGGGAGGAAGGGCAGGGCTGCTGTTTCGTGATTCCCCCAGAAGAACTGAATCCGAAACAGATGCCTCCCGCTGATGAGCAGAGGAGCGGGGAACGCCCTGGGAGAGGAGCCGCCCGCGTGGGTCACGGCGGCCCCTCGGCTCAGCGCTCCGTCCGCTGTCCGGCCGTGGTCACGTCAGACTTTGGCACTCCCTCCAGCGTACCTTCTTCTCGGTTGTGAGGTTACACGCTGGGACGGAAGCCGGGACCGTACCTCGGTCCTTCACCCGCCACCCGTTTCAGAAATTGCGAAAACAGGTCGGTCGTGTTTCTCTGGGTCTGTTGTGTCAATCCTCACCCGAGGATGTTTGTTCCGTTGATTTTCAGAGAAAGGGGGGGGAGGGGGAAGAGTGGGGAGAAGAGGGAGAGAGGGGGGGAGAGGGACATATCGATTGGTCGCCTCCCACACTTGCCCCGGTGGCAGGGATGGAACCTGCAACCCAGGTACATGCCCCTGACAGGAATTGAACCCGAGACCTGAGACCTTCCGTGTGCAGGCGATGTTCCAACCACTGAGCCGCACTGGCCAGGGCAGCATAAGAGCTCCTTTTTGAGCACCTCCTGGGTGCCAGGCATGATTCTAAGCCTTGAGGGGGCAGCTGACTGTTGGCTAAGGGCCTCCTTCCACGGCTTCTCTTCTCGGGCTGAGCCGGGGGCGGGTTGACCGGTGTCTGGTGCTGGAGGCGACCTGGAGAAGAGGGGAGCAGGTAGGGCGTGACCTGGGCGGCCTCCCTGAGGGGTGAGCTGTGAGCAGAGGTCAGGAGGGAGGGAGGGGTCCACAGGGGACAGAGCCTGCCCTGGGCTCTGGTCAGGGTTGTGGGCACAGAAAGGCCCTGTGGCTGTGGGGGGCCAGGGGAGAGACCGTCACAGGTCGCTGTACGCGGGCAGGACATGGGGAGCCGGGGCTCCGGTGATCCACGGGGCATGCGCAGAGGCAGGGAGGCCGTGGCCAGGGCTGGGGAGGAGGCAGGCGGGAGGGGCCGGGAGGGTGGAGTCGGACATCCTAAGGCGAGCCTCTGTCACGGTGACATTTATCAGCATTGTTTCACCCTGAAATCAATCTCAGAATAGACGAGTCTGAGAAGAGTTCTCTGGGTTCCAGCTCAGATGCCCCGCCCCGGCTGCTTGTCCTGGAGGAGGGGGCGATCTCGTAGCCGTGGTCCCATCTCCCAGGACGGGGACCCAGTTTGGGAGTGGGGACGGGCGCTCTGACGTCCCTTCTGCGGGGGAGCGGGGTGGGGCCAGGGCGGCAGCAGCGGGAGGGAGCGGTCAGCCGCTGCCCTTGGGCCACGGGGTGGGGTGGAGGGGGAGTCTACGTGGTCTCCTGGACGCCGGCACCTTCCCCTCCATCACGTGACCCCTTACTGTTCTCGCGTGGCCTCGTCGGGGCGTGGAGGGCGGACACCCGGCTCCTAGCGGTTGGGGCTTCACCTCGGCACCGGCTCCGCGGGCAGCAGGGCCGGTGGGCGGCCAAGGCCACAAACGGAAACTTTCCAAGTCGCTGCCGGTGCCCCTGCGACCGCAGGCCTCGCACCCGCCTCCCACCAGCGGCAGGAATCATAGAACCCGGAACATTCTCACGCTCTTAACGCAGCGCGTGGCCCTGGCTCATGCTCAGAAGTTGGGGCGCTGGGCAAGAGGCAGATTCTCAGAAACAAAATCACCAGACCCGAGTGTCGGTGAGACCGGCAGCTGCATCAGGTGGACTGGGCCCCGGGCACCGCTCCTCGCCGGCCCTCGGGCGGCTGGGACGGTGGCTGGCTGTGTGGGTCCCCCGGTGGCCTGGTGGTCTCCGTTTTAGCACGTGGGGGGGGGGGTCCCCGCAAAGGAGCACAGGCCTGGCCGCCGCACTGAGAGCCGGGAGCCGCTGAGAGTCAGGGAGCGGGCACAGCAGCCGTGCTGGAGGCTGGGAGTGGGCGTGAGGACAGCTGGTGGGAGCGCCATGCCCTGGGCAGTGGGGCTGCGACTGGCCTCCCGCTGCAGCTCCGAGCAGAGGCCCGTGGCCCCGGGGACGAAGCTCCGGAGCCCAGGCCGGGAGAGACGGCCAGGCCACTCGGCAGACCCGCCGCTCGGGGCCTCACACCCGGAGGTGGCTGCTGGCTGAGTTAGTGCGATCGCCGGCGCTGTCCCTGTGGCTGTCCTTGGCTGCAGTGGTCGGGCCTGGGACAGGCGGCTGCGTTTGCACCTTCGTGGCTGAACCACGAGCGAAGGTGTGCGGTCGGGTCTTGGCCTTGGGGCGCCGGCTGGGCTGTGTCCTCGGGGAGACCCTGGCTGACCCCGCTTCTCCCTGCTGTGAGCCTTGACCATGAAAACCCAACTCAGTAGTCACTGACGTTTTAGGCTCCTTTCCCTCCTTTTTCCTTTCAAACGGTTTCCCTTTCATCTCAGGAAGCCGCCCCGTCCAGAGGAGGAGGTCGGCAGGCCTGGGCCTCCTGGTCCCGCTGGGGCCCTCGGTCCGCTCCTGGCCGGCGGCACAGCCCGCCCGTGGCCGCTCGGACGCCTTCCTCAGGGTCACCCGCCAGGCACACGCGCTCCTCTGGCCACAGCTGCGGAGGGAGCCCAGCGCTGGGGGGGGGAGGACCTGGAGGACGGACGGACCGAGCCCAGGTGCCGGGCCGAGGCGCTAACGGCTCTGCGTTGCCTTGCAGCTCCCGAGCGTGGGCGCCCATGAAGCCGGAGTGAGGCGTGGGCCGTCGGCAGGATGGCCAAGGCGCGGCCGTTCCGCCTGTGGCTGGCGCTGGGCTCCGTGGTCATGATCCTGCTGATCATCGTGTACTGGGACAGCGTGGGCACCGCCCACTGGTACCTGCACACGGCCCTGTCCCCGCCGCGCCCGCCCGGGCCCCCTCCCAGCGCCGGGCGGGCCTTCCCGGCCGAGGTGGACGAGTTCCTGGAGAAGCTGCTGGGCGCCCCCAAGAGGCGGCCGGAGCCCCCGCCGGCCTCGGGCAGACCCCCGCCGGGCCCCGAGGGCGGCCCCGAGGAGAGCGTGCGGGGCTACGACTGGTCCAGCCGCGCCCCGGGCCCCGAGCCCGGCCCCGAGCCGGACGAGCAGGCGGCGCGCCGGAGCCTGCTGCGGGACTTCTGCGCCAACGCCAGCTTCGCCTTCCCCGCCAAGGAGCGCTCCTTCGACGACATCCCCAACTACGAGCTCAACCACCTCATCGTGGACGACAGGCACGGGGTCATCTACTGCTACGTGCCCAAGGCCGCCTGCACCAACTGGAAGCGCGTCATGATCGTGCTCAGCGGCAGCCGGCGGGGCGGCGGCGCGCCCTACCGCGACCCGCTCGCCATCCCCCGCGAGTTCGTGCACAACTCCAGCACGCACCTGACCTTCAGCAAGTTCTGGCGCCGCTACGGCAAGCTCTCGCGCCACCTCATGAAGGTCAAGCTCAAGAAGTACACCAAGTTCCTGTTCGTGCGCGACCCCTTCGTGCGCCTCATCTCCGCCTTCCGCAGCAAGTTCCAGCTGGAGAATGAGGAGTTCTACCGCAAGTTCGCCGTGCCCATGCTGCGCGCCTACGCCAACCGCACCAGCCCGCCCGCCTCCGTGCGCGAGGCCTTCGGCGCCGGGCTGCGCGTGTCCTTCGCCAACTTCATCCAGTACCTGCTGGACCCGCGCACCGAGCGGCGCGCGCCCTTCAACGAGCACTGGCGGCAGGTGCACCGGCTCTGCCACCCCTGCCAGATCGAGTACGACTTCGTGGGCAAGCTGGAGACGCTGGACCGGGACGCCGCGCAGCTGCTGCGGCTGCTCGGCGTGGACCGGCGGCTGCACTTCCCGCCCAGCTACCGGAACCGCACGGCCAGCAGCTGGGAGGAGGGCTGGTTCGCCCAGATCCCGCTGGCCTGGCGGCAGCAGCTGTACAAGCTCTACGAGGCTGACTTTGTGCTCTTCGGCTACCCCAAGCCCGAGAGCCTGCTGAGGGACTGAGCCCCTGCCGGCCGCCGCCGAGGACAGACCGGGACGGTCAGGCACAGGGACGGCCAGACCCGGGATGGTCAGACCTGGGATGGTCAGATCCGGGACGGTCAGACACGGGGACAGTCAGACACGGGGACGGCCAGACCCAGGATGGTCAGACCTGGGATGGTCAGATCCGGGACGGTCAGACACGGGGACAGTCAGACACAGGGACGGCCAGACCCGGGATGGTCAGACGTGGGGACAGACACGGGGACGGCCAGACCCAGGATGGCCAGATCCGGGACAGTCAGACACGGGGACAGTCAGACACAGGGACGGCCAGACCCGGGATGGTCAGACCTGGGACGGTCAGACACGGGATGGCCAGACGTGGGGACAGTCAGACGTGGGGACGGTCAGCCCCGCGATGGCCAGACCCAGGACGGCCAGACCTGGGGCAGTCAGATGTGAGGACAGTCAGACATGGGGACGGCTAGACGCGGGACAGTCAGATGCAGGGATGGCTCCTGAGCCTCACTGTCATCCGGGGATGAGCTGGGCTGCACCGTGCCTTATGTGGCCTCGTGTCCCCCCAGCCTCAAGGGCAGAGAAGCCCTCAGTGTCTGTCGCTGGGGCCCACGCTCCAGTTTTAAAATGACCTGCGATTCTGCACTCAGACTTCTGTTCCCTCTGCGGGCTGTGCTCAGCCAGAACTGTGTGAATAGTGTTTTTTAAGATTAATATATTTCTGATATTTAATAGGAAATAGGAGGAGGGGAGAACGGAGTAAATTCTACATCTGCTTGTGCCGCCTGCTCGTGTGGTCATTCGGGTGCAGCGAGGAGAGCACACAGTAGGGCAGCGGGAAGGGCACACAGTAGGGCTCTGAGCTGCGTCACGGCCATGTTCATGCTCAGAGATGTCACCGGTGGTGGGATGGGTCCTGGTCCTCAGCACAAAGGAGGCCTCGCTCCGTTGGGGTCAGGCACAGGCTGTGGCCAGGGCACCCCCGGGGGAGACCAGCCTCCCCGCGGCACCGGCCGTCCCCCACGCCCGGAGCCCTCGGCTGCACCCTCACAGGACCTGGTGGGCAGGCGAGGGCACTACCTCAGGCTGATCCTGCTGCTCCACACCCCCCACCCCCGCATCGCTGAGGGTCCCGTACCGCTGAGGGTCCTGTCGCTCCCCCCCCCCCCCGCACCGCTGAGGGTCCTGTCGCTCCCCCCCCCCGCACGGCTGAGGGTCCCCCTCCGCTGAGGGTCCCGCATGGCTGTGGCCCAGGGACTGCCGGCTTCCCCCGGAAGGTGCCAGAGAGCCAGGCTGAGATGAACCCCTTTATCTCATTTTATTTGTTTTGGTGAATCCTCACCGAGGGCATTTTCCCTTTGGTTTTTATTATTTTTTATTTATTTATTTATTTATTTAAAATATATTTTATTGATTTTTCTTCAGAGAGGAAGGGAGAGGGATAGAGAGTTAGAAACATCGATGAGAGAGAATCATCGACCAGCTGCCTCTTGCACACCCCCCACCGGGGAGGTGCCCGCAACCAAGGTACATGCCCTTGACCGGAATCGAACCTGGGACCTTTCAGTCCACAGACCAACGCTCTACCACTGAGCCAAACCGGTTTCGGCTCCCTTTGGTTTTTAGAGGAGAAGGGAGAGGAGAGAAGCAGTGAAGTGAGAGGCACAGTGATGGGTGCCTCCCGCACACAGTCCTGGGGACCCAGCCTGCAACCCAGGTGCATGCTCTGGACCGGAATCGAACCCCCAACCCTTCAGCCCTTGGGCCAACGCTCTGTCCACAGAGCCCACCTGGCAGGCCCCTTATTTCAGAGCAGGGGCCACAGACTGGAGTGGACGCCGGACGGAGCTGTGCTGGGCACTGGTCTGTTGTGGCCGTACTGTGCTGCCGGTAGATTTCCAGAATATTCTGGTTTCAAAACGGGGCCACAGACTCGTCAAGTGGACGTCAGCGTGGGGTTTCAAGGCGGCGGCCCTGGGCGCGGTCTGCGCTTCTGAAAAGGTTTCCCGGGCAGAGCTGTGGGAGGGGCTGGCCGGAGGTGCTGGCTAGGGGTGGCCCCAGGGGAGTGGGCCGGCTTCTCCCCGGGGGGCCTGTCCCTCCTCCTCCCCCCAAGAGGAGGCGGGGGGCTCAGCACCCGCCTCACGTCTGCTCAGGCGATGGGTCTGTGTCTGGAAATCGCTCCCGGGGGTCATTTCTCCTGCAGCTGCCCCCGCCCCCCCATCGTTCCGCTGATGGGCCCTTGTCCCTGGGAGGGGCCTCAGCCCCTGACGCTGGCCTGGCCTGGTTCCCCCCAGAGAAGGCCGGCCAGTGTGGGAACAGTGCAGCAGGCTCCTGTGGGGCCAGGGCCGAGCCCGGACCTGCAGGCTGGGGTTCGGGGGCCCATTTTCCAGATGGGGACACTGAGGCCGGAGCAGCTGAGGTGCTGCTCAAGCCTCATGTTTCTCAGGAGCCTGGGTGCTCAGCCCTCGTGCTGCAACCGGAACCTTCTGCAGCGTTTGACGTGGGCCTTCTCGGGATCTGCCCGCACAGGCTGTCCCTCTGCGGGCACCTTGGTGTGAGGCGAGGCGTCTTGGGAAAAAGCCGGCGCTCGGCTGGGGTGCGGGAAGGAAGATGCAGGCGTGGCCTGGAGGCCTGGCTTCAGGCCGGGAAGGCGGGGCAGGAGGGACTGTGTTGGCAGCGGGAGGAGAGGAAAAACCCAGCGCTTCGGAAAACACCCCGAGGAGGCCGGGAGCGGCCTGGCCTGGGCCCGAGAGGGGAGCCGCCCGGAGCCGCCTCCCTGACATGTGCGTGTGTGGCTGTGGGCCCTTCTGTGGCAGAGCTCAGCGTGGGGCGAGGGGAGGACTGGGCCCCTGGGACAGTGTCCTCATTCCCAATGCCCCCGCACAGCGTCGCTCCCCGGGCTGCCGGCTCCCTTGCCAGGCTGCTGGCCCCGGGGCACCTGCCGAGCTGACCCCTGGAGCTGCTCCAGCCGGAGCCAAGGCACCGCCGCATACAGAGGCACGCGGGCGCCTCGGCCAGAGGGAGGTGGGTGCCCAGGGGCCCCCAGAACCTTACACCCCTGGGAAGAGGGGCCTGTGCCCACAGCCACAGAAGCCAGCACCAGGCTCCCCTTTCCCTGCGTGCTGCCCGGCCTCGGCCCGCTGTTGGACCGCGTGCGGGTCACCTGGCTGGGTGGGCTCAGGTGCCGGTGGCACACGGAAGCCTCGAGTTTCTAGGGGCCCAGAAACAGACCCCGAGTCCCCAGGCTCCGGGAGCCGTCAGCATGGCCCCCACCGGCGCAGGGGACCAGCGGGCTCCCGGGCAAGGCTGGCGGGAGGGGGTCAGAGTGGCCCCAGGTGGTGGGCTGTGGGCAGCCAGACGTGGGCAGGCTGGGGTTCGAGCCTGTGGGGTGAGGGGTGGAGGGCCCGTGTGTGTGTGTGTCAGGCCCGAGGCCCCTCTCCACTAACCAGCGGGGTCCCTGGCCCCCTGCTGCCGGGGCCGCGGGGTATGAGAGCGGTCCCCATGGGGAGGGGCCGCAGCTCTGAACCCCCAGCGGCCCCAGCGCCGAGGCCCGGACGGCTGCCTCGCCCGGCCCAGGACCTCCACCAGGGGGCAGCCTCTGTTCACTGTGAGGCTGTGAGCAGCCAGGCCTCCGGGACCCTTAAATCCGATGGGAGCGGCTCTGTCGCCATGAGGTGCCCTGGGTCTGGGCCGGCCTGTCCCCCAGCTCCTGGCACCCGGCGTCCGCTGCTTCCTGGGCGGCAGGCAGCACCCACCTTCCCGCGCCCGCTGCTGCCATCGCTCCGGTGTGAGAGAGGGCTGCCCTGGCGCCCCGCTCCTGAGCAGCCCTCCGAGGGAGAGGGTGCCTCGGAGCCCTCAGCCCTCAGCCTCGGGGGAGGCAGAGCCTGGATCACTGCACCCCAAGACCGGCGTGCAGGGGGGCACACCTCCAAAGGGAAGCTGGCCTGGGCTTGGGCAGGGCCGAGGGGAGGGGCCCCTGCGCTGGGTGGGAAGAGAGGGAGGCTGACAGTTCACAGGGGAGACATGCCCGGGACGGAGCTGAGGGCACTGGGGCAGAGTGGCAGGGAGCAGAGGTTTGGGGGGGAGGGTGTCTGCTGAGCGGGGAGAGGCGGAGGGACTGGTGAGGCTGCAGTGCTGATGGGAGTCCACGGTTCCGCGATGGTGCCCTCATTCCCAACGCCCCTGCAGAGCAAGGCTTCCCCCGGGCTCTGCCATGGCTCTGCCTCCACCCGCCCGGGCGGCCTGGCTTCCCCCGGGCTCTGCCATGGCTCTGCCTCCACCCGCCCGGGCGGCCTGGCTTCCCCCGGGCTCTGCCATGGCTCTGCCTCCACCCGCCCGGGCGGCCTGGCTCCGTCGCGCTCCTCCTCCAGCCTCAGTTTCCCCACCTGCGGAGCGGCCGGAGCGTGGGAAAGGGCTCTGCTCCAGGGCCATTGTGCCCGCAGGCTCCTGGGCGCTCGCCACGCTCGGCACCCGCACAATGCCCGCTCTGAGCAGAGCCGTGGGTGGGCCGTAACCATGGCGAGGCCGGAGGCGGCGGGGCCCACTGCCCGTCGGGGCTGCCGGCCGAGACCCCGGTGAGCGCTTTGTCCCAGGCTGGAGCGGGTCCGGGCCAGCGGCTGGATGGCTGCCTGCCGGGCAGGGGTGGGGTTGGCTGGGAGATGGGGTCGGGGTCAGGGTCAGAGCTGTTTCCGGGTCCTGGAGCACAGCTGGGCTGGGTGGGAGGGTGGCCCAGGGCACCCCTCCCCGCCCCCTCTGAGCCGCCCCGGGGCCCAGGCCGGTGCTCCGGAGAAGGATGCCCTCATTCCAGGGTGTTCCCGGCAGCTGGCCGCCCACGCGGGGCCCCTCTCCGAGCGGCAGGGCTGGGTGTGAGCGTGGGCCTCCCCCAGGGCCTCCAGGCGTGGGGGTCAGACCCCAAAGCTGTGCTTACAAAGCCCGTGCTGGAGGTCCTGAGGCTGGGGGGGGGGGGAGGGGAGAGCCCTCGGTGTCATCAAGAGGGGTGC